GACGATGGTGAAGATGAAAAAGAGGAAGAGGAGCAGCTGCCAGTGGATCCCCCCTACGTCGTACAGACCCCCAGACTTCTGGATCTCCAGGACCTTCCTCCTGCGGGCAGGGACCCCCCCGGCCGGGGAGGGGGTCTCAGGCCAGCGCGGTGCTGCTGGCTCTGCCCTTGCCGGCAGCCAGGGAGCGAGCTGAGCCCTGGGCAGGCCACCCCACGCTCACCTCTCCCCTGGAGCGTGGTGGCCATGAGCTCCCCAAGAGCATCCCCACGTGACGGCCACGGGCAGTAGCGTACCTGCTCCCAGGCACCCCGGCCCTGCTCCCCGTGCGGCAGACCCAAGCGCCTCTGCAGGGGTGTTCCCCAGCTCAAACGCATCGTCCGCTTGCGCCTACTTACGTATAAAACTCTTCGGCGGGAGACCTGGAGAAGTTGGTCCAGGTCACGTTGCTCCTCCCGAAGTAGTTGGTGCAGTTGGGCGTGTTCCAGGGGTTGTCGCAGCTCGCCCAGGGCAGGGTGCCCGAGAAGGACGAGTAGAAGTAGTAGAGAGCCCAGGCGATGATGGTGTTGTAGTAGAAGGAGACGTACAGGCCAATGATGCAAATGGCAAAGCCGATGCCTGGGGAAAGAGCGGGGCTCGGGGTCCTGCAGCAGCAGAATTAAGCAACGGCGTCTGCGCTCCCCCATGCCAGGACGAAGCCAAGGGGAGCCCCAGGACCCCCGTGCCCACTCCTGCCCAGGCAGGTTCAGCCCCAGCATCACAGCCCTGATTACCTTTAATGAGAATTCTCAAGTGCTGCCTGGTAATTACCCGCAGGAAGCCTATTGTCAGGCCAGGGCAAGAACATGGCACAAACAAAACCCAGCGGCAATGAGATGGGTGATTCAATTAGAGATTTACATTTCCAAGAGCCTGTCCAGGGCATCTTGTTTCTGTAGGAACGAGGGCCCCATCGCCCTGCAGCTCCAGCAGCAGGGCCAGACCGATGCGCGGGGATGGGCGTGTGTCCCGGGGAGGGGGGCTGGCTGCTGCCATCCCCGGGGAGGGGGTCTGGGTGCTGCCATCCCCAGGCAGGGGATCTGGGTCCTGCCATCCCCCGGGTGGGGGCAGCCAGAGCCGGGGTGGCGTGTCCCACCGCACACTCACCGCAGTGCTCAGGAGCTTGCTCCAGTCCGGGCGCAGGTAGAAGATGACCCCTCTCCAGGCGCCGGGCAGGGTGGCCCCCCGGACCAGCAGGATGAGGAGGACGACGTAGGGCAGCGTGGCTGTCACCCACACCACCTGGAGAGAGGTGGCCATCAGCCCCCGGCTCCCGCAGAGCCACTCTGCCAAGAACCCCCAGTCCGCCGGTGTTGGCATGGCCGGCTCGCTCAAGCTGCCCGGGGTGGCCGAGGGCAGGGGCATGGGGGGGTGTGCAGCCAGGAAGACCCCACGGGCTGCCAGGCACATGGTCTGCTTGCCCCCTCCTGCCTGGCCCTGGCCGTGGAGAGGCTGGGGGCCGCCAGGC